AATCATTAGACTGGAACTTCAAACTATCATGATAAGAATTATGTAATCCCAGGCTAGGTCTGCCTTGAGCAAGAGAAGTTGGTTCAGTACTCTAACCCTAGAACCCCAGACTGTCCTGAGTTGGAACAGACCCACTAGAATCACCAAAGTCCAACTCATGGCCCTGCACAAGTGACAAGAGTCACACCATGTGCCTGAGAGCATGGTCCAAGTGCTTCTTGAACTCTGCCAGGCTTGGTGCTGTGACCACTTCCCTGGGAGCCTGTTCCAGTGCCCAACCACCCCCTGGGTGAAGAACCTTTTTCTAATATCCAACCTAAACCTGCCCTGACACAACTTCAGGCCATTCCCTGGAGTCCTGTCCCTGGTCACCACAGAGCAGAGATCAGTGCCTGCCCCTCCTCTGCCCCTCACAAGGAAGTTGTAACTGCACTGAGGTCTCCCCTCAGTCTCTTCCTCTCCAGCTGAACACACCAAGTACTCTCAGCTGCTCCTCACACGGCTTCCCCTCAAGGCCCTTCACCATCCTCATTGCCCTCCTTTGGACACTCTCTAATGGTTTCATGTCTTTCTTACATCGTGGTGACCAAAACTGCCACAATTTCAAGGTGAGGCCTCACCACTGCAGAGCAGAGAGGGACAATCCCCTTCCTCAACCATCTGGTGATGCTTTGCCTGATGCCCCCAGGACAGGGTACAGCACAAGGTACAGCCCTGCACCCTCACATGATGATGTTTTCCCCTTTGGGGAAAACAAACAAATCCAAAACAACCCCCCTGTGAATCACCTATCTCAGCCTTTTCCTGCTTTGGAGCTTCCTTTGGCAATAAGCAAATTCCTCTTCCACCTGCACATCTCGGCTGTAGCATTCAATGCCAAGAGAAAAGGTGTGTGATGGAAAAAAAATCATGTCCTGTTTACAGCCAGCTGTACAGAACAACTGGAATGGAGCACAGCCTTGCAGGGGACACCCAGTCAGTGCCAGATGTCTGACTTCATCCTATAAAAAGAAGAGGTAATGTTAAACCACCTGCCAGTAACTCAAAGGCAACTCTGCAATGGAATATCCTTACTGAGAAAAAGAATTACAGCCCACTGTCACATCTGTAAAGAGTCTCACAAAGAGAAGTTCTGATTTAGCAGCATTTTAAACACACTGTTTGGAGGCCTAAGTGAGTCCACAAACAGTGAGGCAGGGAGAAGTCAAGGGTAACAAGCTCATATCAGCATTTCTACAGTTATGGGGAGACTGGTGCTTTAGCAGGAAGCCTTTATGGCACCCACACTCAATGTTCAGACAGTTTTGTAGCACTCTCATTCAACCAAATTTTTTACCATTAATATGATATCATACTTGGGGAAAAACGTAGACAGAACTGAAAATCTTCAAAAGTCAGCTACTGAAAGAGAAAAAGAGTAGGTAAGTATTTCTTGTTTGAGAAGATGTTTGACTGATATATTTAATCGACCGATTTATGGGATAAATTTCTCTTTGGAAAATAAAACACTTTACCTGACCCCAGTTGGCACAGTTGGAGAATTCAGGTTTTATTTATAGGTACTTTAAATTACTGACCAGTCAGGATGACTTTACTGTCCTTTGATACTCTGCTTTGCCATAACTGCAGAGATTTTCACTGTTTTGAGCTTCAAAGTTTCCAGGGGTTTGCAGTGAGTTTCTGTATTGGAGGCTCCCTTCTGGTGCCTCTAGGTTTTCCATGATGTTTTCTAACAAACAGATCTGATTTTAATTAAGGAAGGTAAAGAAATATACCAGATGCTCTACAGTTATACATGCCCCTGGTCAAATCTTCTGTCAGAGGAAACCCAGTGGCAACAAAACATTGGCTCACAGCAGAACACAACCAGGATTATACAGGGAGGGTGAAAAACTCTTGCTCTTGGTTCACAAAGATTTGTGATGCATTTTGATTCTCCTACACCTCCTTCAGGTAAAAATACTCATTTATTAAAACTCCAGTGATACACTGGATGAATCTTCTTTCAAACAGAATTTTTTTTATGCCTACTCTTTGAAAGGCACTAGTTAAGAAAGTCAAAACTGACCTAGAAAATGACCAATACATGCACCTATTTAGCATCTGAATAACTTGTAGTTAATTATAAGTATATACGAATAACACAAGCATTGTGATAAATGGATGTGTTGTTGGAATTTACACAAAAAATAATTACTTAGAACTTTCATTGAAGTAGAACAACAGCAGGAGAATTATCACATTGAAAATAAATGTAGCAAAGTTTTCTAGGCAACCTTGACAACTGTCTACTAGTGGGAATTTACTGCTACGTATGTATGGAATTTATCCATAATTTAACATTCATGCTAGCTTACATTTCTTTAGAAGTCTTTTCTCCACTTGATTGATTGATATGACCCTTTCCTCACATCAGCCAGGGACACCATTATTTATGTGATAACAACCTCAATTTGCAAATTACTTAAATCTAATGGGGCTTTATTTCATTACCGTACTGGCTGTAATTCCAAGTCAACATTCGTTATTCACATCATCCCATTTAATGCAAACAACTATGCATTGCTGAGAAGTTTTTTATAGTATCCTAAATATTTGACTGTGGAAGAAAAGTGCACTTTTGCCTAGAAAAAAGTAAAAAAAAAAAAAAAAACCAACATCATTCTATATTATGTAAACAAATAGAAATCTGAATTCAGGACTTCCTTGTCCTACAATTATACGGGACATCTAATTAAAGAGCCGTCTCTCCAGACAATGTTCTATGCAGTAAGGATGTATTATTTCACTTACATATCTGCTTCCTCACCATATCAAGTGTCTATTTAGCCACAAACTGCTATTTTCTTCTCACTTTCAAGCCCTAAACAATTAATTACTGCAGAGTCTTGTTAATTCATTTCCAACCTGTGCCATACAATCATTTGAGGCAGAACTCATTTTTTTCCACATTGCCAAGGAGTGACCAGGCAAAGGGGGCACAGTACAGCCTTCCATGGATCTGTCTCAAATTCAGCACTTCTCCAAGTCCAAATGGCACATAACATCCTGTGTAATGAGCAGAATGGCACGTTAATTATTCTTGCATCTGTAAGGACAGCAAAAAAATCCATCACCAATAAACCAGAAATAAACAGCTCTATGAAGTTCACTACTATTTGCAATTCCACTGCACTTACAGGCTGGATATCCAGCCAGCCTGGATAGCTAGCTCCAGGGATTAATCCCTAAGAGAAACATGGAAGTTAAGTTTGTGTGTTAACCCAGAATCTGGGTGTGACCAGTTGTTTCGAAATTAGATTTTTGTTCTGTCAGCCTGCTTCCAATCCTAGAACAGATAAACATTATAGTTCTTCGCTTCCATTTTTTTTGCCTTGTATGGACAGCTCCTGTTTCCTACATTTAATTGCATCTTTGTGGATTAATGCCCTGTAGCTCAGATCCTGGTTTCTCTGTCCAACAACAGAAGCTCGAACTGGTTAGTCTGTCCCACCCAAAGCGGTTAACTGATAGCAAGAAGGCAGTAAATATAAACGTAAAATGTGTCTAATAATCTGTTTCTAGCAAAAACAGGATAAAAAAATTCATTTAGGTAAGTAAAGCAAGTGAAACATCCCTGATTTCTTCAGAAGTTTTTCTTCTATGGGTCACTGCCCATGAACTATTAGAAAGTAACCCATCCATTTACTTTGAATGAGCCTTGGCAAACACTCAGGAACACTTAAAAATCTCATGAAATGCCAGAGGCTCTTTTCCATTTCCTGTATTTGGTACATTTCACACCTTCCAGGGGATGCTTATTTAGGCATAGGAAACCAACTCGAACTGCTTCATCAGGAGCCAACCATTCAGAGACGGAAACTTTAGTCCCAGAATTCTGCAACCAACAAATTATAAGCCAGGGATTCTGAACTAAATAATTCACTTGGTAACAGTGTTAACTTTAGCAAATGCACAAAACCACCAGAATCCAGAGAGGAATTGTTTGCAACTCACCACGGTAACAGTGCACCAAGGCCTGCTATCAAAACTCACCCCTCCCCACTAAATGACTTCTCTTGCAGGAATAGACAGAATATCAACAACCCTCTCCCCAGCCGCCTTTCAAATACTAGTACAGACTTCAGTACCACACTTTGCAAATAACACATAGGTTGTTTGTGGTGTTTTTTCATTGTTTGTTTGTTTCTTTAAAAAAAAAAAATTGTCTTTCTGCACTTAAAGAAAAGGCTGAAGAGCTCTTTGAGCAGCCCCTCTCTAGATCAGGAACAGGCCGAGCCTGCTCCCATTAATGCCAATTCAAGCCTCACAATTGACTTCAAGCGGGAAGAGAATCAAGCCTTGTAGAGTGCAGGAGTACATTGTTAAGTACAATAATATTTGTTTCACCTTCACCCATCTTAACCTCTTAAAAGGCTTAAATTTACGGGCAACAGTGTCTGCTCCTCTCAAAGGGGTTTTGCAAATGCGTAGCATTAATCTGTCCCTCGATTTTCCACTTGAGATGGCACACACAATGCGGCAAAGAGCAGCAGAAAGGTATGTTGGTAATGACTCCCACTGATAAATCCATACATATTTTACATTGGAGTGTGACCCTTACACAGATTAGGCTCTCATTTTCCCACAAAAGGTGATTTGCATCTAGTTGGCTTTCTTCCAGATGGTGACCAGAAAGTGCACCAGGGAGGCTTGCACCAGACACCCTCAACATTCTAATAGCCTCAATATGGCTTTTGGATTTATGGCCAAATCATCCCATTAGTACACAGCTCTATTATAACACAACTGTAAATGTAATTACGTGAGATAAAGGCTATCCTTCATCAAGGACAGCTGCATAGCACTAACACTTTATTCTTACCTGATTCAGCATATGCTTTGTAACTCATATATTTTGAAACAGGAAACAAGAAAAATGTCTGTGTCATACCATAGTGAACACTACACATCTGCTAAGCATTTTTTCTATGAGTCTTCTTGCTCTGAGTCCTCATGTATCTTCCACCTTTATCTTATATTTTCTATATACTCATTTATTACAGAAAATATTTCTATGGTATCCCATTTCTTTTTAATGTAACATCATCAAAGATAAAAGCAATATACAGGTTCAAGAACTGCATCCACATAGAGAATCTATACTTGCTGCAAGCTGTATGTTCAAAATGTATTGCAGTGATTTAGTTCAAATATGTTTAAAGTAATGCTTCTATTCATTCTCAGGTGTGGTTTTTCAGTAGATAAGTCAAATAGAACAACTTCTCTGGTTTGCCAGGGAAATGGCTGAGAGATGTTTGACTCTGTGCTACCCCTAATCCATCTCTTCTGATGAGACTGAAGAAAGCAACTTCTTTCTTCCCACGCTCCCTCTCAGGTTGGCTCCAAGCTCCCCAGGCTGTGGGGCTGCAGTGCTGCTTTGCCCTTCTCTCTGCTGTCTGTGCTCTCACGTGAGACCCATGGATTTGGTCCCAAACAGCTGTCAATGCGGGTGTTATGCAACTGCTTCTCATATAAATGGGTTCTTTCCTTTCAGCTGCTCATCAGTTCCTCAGGTTCTGAGTGTTCCTGGTTCCTTTCTTTCCTGCTGGCACTCACCAATGGATCTGACTCACCTAACAGATGAGTGATGCAACAGTTTTCTCTTAGGAAATATATTACTACTCTGAAGCCTCCTGTGTTCATATATTTTACATGAAGATGGCCCCTCTGGGCCACTTCCCTGCTAGCCAGTGACGGGCAGTTATCTTCACACTAGATCACACTGCAATCACTCACATTTACAGCTCCCACCTTACATCTGACAGTTCTTTACAGAGGAGCTTGCTAATTCTGAGATTCCAGGCACCCCTTTCAACAGAAATTACTCTGTGACTTAATTACAGAGAAATTAATTATACCTGATCTGCAACACAGGTTCATCCTGCTCATTTTGTCCTGTTTCCTCAGGCTGGAAACATGTCACTGTTTATTGCTTTTAGTGAAAAAGTCACTGAAGACCCCTATTTACTAAGCAGCAGACTCATATATTTGCTGATGATCAGCTGAGCTTCATTCTCTCATTTCACTTTTGGAACTGAGACATTTTCAGTGCTGCAGCACAGGTTCTCCTCAGGTTCCAGGTCCCACACAGTGGCTGCAGGAAACCAGAGCAGAGTTAGGATTTCATATCACCCACAAATAAATCCACCCTTACATCTTGTTCAGAGCTGCATGACAGAGGTGGTCTCTCCCATTTCCTGTCCCAGCACACTCCCTAAATGAATAAAGCTGCACATTAGAAGTTGAATAGATCATAACATTTATGACTTTCTTTATAAAGAGAATTAATGAACAGAGAGCACAAAAAATCCTTGCATTCCACCATGTCTGAGTAAAGTACAGTACTCTTGAAAGTAGCAACACTGGCAGAGCTGGTATTGACCTATAATAGTGTTCTGCAACCTCCTATCCAACATCCTAATATCACCTTACACCTCAAAAATTACCTCTGTACTGATAGAAACCATCACAAAATTAATATGACTTTAAGCCACTCATCAATAGTCATACAAACTCTGTTTTAACTCATGAGTCATCCTTCTCAATTATGTAATGTCCATTGTCCTCAATGTTCAAACATCTCAATAGCAGCATATTCCAAAAGTAATTAATATTCAATTATCTTACAGTCATCACATTTGCATATTAATATTTGCTTTGTAAGTCCCACAGAAATGTATTTGAAAGGTTAGGAGTGCTCTGATCTTGTTAAAAAGTAAAAATGTTAGGATTAATAGATTTTGAACACCTTTTAGGCAATGCTTCTAGAATCACAGATCCTCATGCATTTTTTCCCTGAACTCTGGATCTTCCACTGAGAAATCAGACTTTTAACAGTTTGACTCTATTACTGCTGCAGTCACATAAACCAGACTGAGGATATGCAACCTACAGTACTGCATAGCAAAGAAATAGTCTAAAATGATGGATTTTTCAAAGCAAAATTCTAAATACATTCAGGGTTAAAGCACAATATTGATTTTGCTGCTTCTGTGAATGTATCAGAGACATTTCCTAGCAGCACTGAAGGTCTTGCAGTGTCAGGGAGCCACAGTGAAGCAGCTGAACTAAGCCCAGGAAGTGAACTTTACTCCATAAAGTATAGAAAGCAGAGAAAAATAAAGATCCCAACAGCCTGTGCCAGTGTAAACAAGGATGAGAGGGTGGGGGAGAGGAGAATTCCTTACTCCCCTCAAATCTGGCAACTGCGTGCCAGATGGCATTCCCAAGCATGGGTGGAAAACATAAACAGGATCATAAGAATTTCCTATAGGAATGGCAGTATAGCATGTTCAGACTCTCATCTTTAGTTCCTAGTAAAGAAAAATTAAAAACAACAACAACAAAACCAAAACAAAACAAACAAAAAAACCAAACAAAAAACCAAACAAATGTAAGGATGAAAAAATCAGAATCTATGAGGGAAGAGACAGGAAAGAATTCTTCTTCAATCCTTCAGGTACTTAGTGGCAGTCCCCAGCTAATATAATTGATTGAAACCAAAAAGACACTCAGTTTAACAACTCTTTCTAATCCATTTAAAATATTCAAGAACATCCTAGCCTTGAACATAACTCCTTCCTTGAATTTGTCAGGATCCATTTTCAAACCCCATGTTCTTTAACCTTTTGCTCTACTTCAAAGTTAATTTCATAACTTCAGTTCTCCTGTTTACAAATTCGGTAGTGGTGCTGAACTAGCCATAGAGCATGTCATGGAGCACAGAATCACAGCTCTTTCGTCCTTACTAATGGATTAATTTAAGAACATTCAGTAGCACAGAATAGCAGAAGTTTATAAACTGTATTATCATTGTTTTCTAAAGTAACAAGGGACATTTAATTACTATCAAAATTTCAAAGGTGGTTCCAAACACAAGGTGCCAGGACTATAAATGTTATCTGGGAAAGTGCTTTAAAAAGGGACCTCAGAAAGTGTAAGATGTTACATAGAAAATATGCGTTAAGAGTTAAAAAAAGCTCCCTCTTCCCCCTCAAGGATCTCACTGGTTGCCATTTTCAGACATCAGTCCAATCCAAATAACCCCAAACTTTCCAATTATGCCTTCCTCACCAAGCCAACCAAATACATCTACCAGCCTCATTTCTCCCCCTAAAGAGGTCAGTTTTATCTCAGCTTTTTCATCTTCATTGTTTTATGCTAGCTTTATCCTCAGCTGTAATACTGCTTCTCATTTCCTGTTCTCTAAATAAACAGAAAATTAGGTTTTCAGTGCAGATACCAAGTCCTATCTTCTTTCTTTCTTGCCAAAAATAACTTGTTTCAGTGAGCTTGCTGGAATCATCACAGTGCTCAGATTTAGAAAGGCTGTTTTTTATAGCCTGTTTAAACAATATATTGCAGCTGGTCTGAACCAAAGCAGAAGTACTCACACAGGCTTTGTTAAGCTACTGTCTCTACAGTTAGGAACCTAAACTCTGTGGCATTTCCTTCAAAGCCCCTTCCATGATCATTTCAAATGCTTAACAAATACCATCCCACACACGTACAGTTAGAAGACAAGATTTGTCACGAAGGCAGAATGTAATCTGCAAAGTCTTTATTCTTCTTGAAACAAATTTGAAAGAAGTAAGTTTATTTTTGGTCCCACCACTGCATTTCTGGTTAATTGGGAGGTCTATTTCCTCACCTGCAATTGAACAAAGCAGAACAACTAAATTCAATGCCATCGAGCAGCACATTTCAGAGCTGAACAGAGAAATGTGGAAAACACATGGAAACTGTCTCCAGAAACACTATATGACTAAACTCCACTTTGGATACAATATAAATATCAAGTGCCTTATGTCAGGACTCTGCTAGTAAATCTTAACACACTATGTCAGTATTAAGACCTAATTTCAGGTTGCTATATGCAAATAGCATTGCAAAAGGTATTGGAGATTTCCTCCAGCGATCTCTGAGCTAATACCATACATACCTTTCACCACTGCGTGTTACTCATTCAAGAGAAATGTGTGCTACAGCCCTCTTATACCAATTATTTTCTTAGCATGGGATTAGCATATTACAGAGATTGTTCCAAACCTACACTGTATCATGCACCTAATGCTCCTGAGCAATGTCTTTCAAAAATGTAAAGTCAATTTGCAAATGAGAGGCACTTGCTTCCCCTGGGCTATTATATTGGGACTTATTTCAGATACTGCATGGTTTGGGGAGTTTTTATCTTTCAGAAAATGACAATTAAAGGCTTTAGGGTGCTCAGCAGGTGTTAGTGCTTGTTTTTACAATACAGTCAAGGTTTATGTTCCTCGGTTGACTGTTCTTTCAATCTTACTTCAAATATTCTCCACAAAACTTGCTGCCTGTTAACTTTTGTTGTTGCCAGTATGAAGGTCACCCATCAATATATATCAGTTGTACACGGCTTTCTTTCTTTCTTCCCCCTCTGAGACTGGAATTACAAAAGCTCTTCCTGCATATGCAGCACAGATTTGTGTCTTGCAGAGACATTTTCAGAGCCTACACCTTGTTTTAGTTTCAGTAGCTTTCAATAACATCTGACCACTTAAGTTTGCTATTGATAATGGTGGAAACTAACATAGCCACCCCTATTTAGTGCAGGACACAAACATCCTTTTCTCTTCTGACTGCACCTTTTGCTGCAAACACTCCAACTCCATTCTACTTTTCAGCTTTTATTCTTGCACAGGGATTTGAGAAAGAAACAAAGAAACAACTGCCCCTGGAACACTGCAATGCACATTCTTTTTTAGCCTACTTATCCTTAGCTGTCAGGTGGTTTATCTCAATTTTGTTACCTATGAGAAAATTCATTGCAAGTATCTTTCACTGACAGGTATATTTATAATCTTGGATTTCTGCAACGGTCCAGCCATAAACAATTAGACCATTGCATTCAAATGTACAGCTGCTATTCCTGCTCTAAATCTGCTGAGAACCCTCCTGCAGTTCCTTACTATGTATTTTCCACATAGGTCTGCACACAAATGAAGCAAAATAATCTGCTCTTTGCTAGGACTGTATGGAACCCTAAACACCCTGATTGGATTATGAGATGTTAAGACTTCTCTCAGTTAAGTTCACATTTTAAAGACTGAAAGCTTCCTCAATTACAAATCACATATTCTCATATATTCTGTCCACTCTTTCCATTACTCACGGTTCATTTAGACACTTCTGCCTTCAACCTGCCTTTCTCCTGGATTCATTTTCATCTGTAAACTCCATCACGACTATTAGTTTACCTTCCTTTTTATTCTAAAACCCTTCAGCTTCTTCTCCAGTAACTCCCATTTTACTATTATTCATAATCTGGTTTTCCTTCTCTTCTATACATCTTCTTCAACCATGCAACTGAATGCATGCAGCTACATATTTTACCTGTCAAATGTGATGAACTCCAGCTAATTATTTAATATATCATTTTAAGACACTTAATTTTAATACGTATTTTAAATTATATAAAATCTAGCACTTGTAACCTTAAAATTACATCTGTTTTTACAGCTCTGACACAGCAAGGCATGTACATAAAAAAAGTTAGTCTGTTAGGAAGGCTGAATGCTGCTGTATCAAATACCAGCTCACATTTCCTGAAAAGCTCTTCCACAGTCTACAAACCTCTGTTTTGCTTAATTTGTCCTGAATTACTCCTGAATAAGCACCCCAAAGATCTGAGGACTTACAAGCAGAATTAATTTCCATATTCTTCTACATTAACAGCCTAGCATTTTACCTTATACTACTGCTTTTAGGTTTTATTTCATTCTCCCCAACCTCCAAATGGTAGAATATTACCAAATTTCTTAGCAATACTGAGTAAAGCATAAAAATTGTTTATTGTGCTACTTTCCAGAGAAGCCAATACAATAGACAATGCTTAGGACTAGGTAATAAGTGTTGTAGTTACCACATATATTACCCCTTAAAAATTTACATACACCAAGTAGAACAGCCACTAATCTCAAACATGCCAGTATAAAGTCTTTGTGAGCAACAGCTTGGGTTTTCCTGCTATTTTTCTGCTTTAAGTTTATTCCACATCTATTGTAGCAGAAAGAGAAAGTGGAATCTGGCCCAAAGGCTACTTCTAATAAATCCTTCCCTTTATTAGTAGAAACACTGTTATTCACAATGCAACATATGTTCCTCTAATTACGTTTTTGAGTAAAAGTATTAATGACATTTTGGCCATATGTCTACTTATCCTTTTCAGAGCAAGTTTTCTTTTGACACATTTGCATTATATAAAGTTCAGAAACTTATAATTAAACAATAAATAATTATTAATAAACGTTTGGGATTTCAATACCTCTTATTTGCAGTAAAATAGAAGCCAAATGCAGACCCATCCAATGATTTTGAGCAGCACTCAGCTACTGAAAAGCATTTTTATGAATATTCCAACATAATGTAGGCTTTTGAATAACCTACTTTCTAATGGTGTTCCTTCATCAGGATATGAAACAAGCAAAATTTAAATGTTCAGCCCTTCTTACCTTCTTACAATTACCTTTGTAATGCCAACATAAATCCTTAAAGTATGGTGAAGTAAAATGGGATGGGAATTTGAAATGGAACATTTCAGTGTTTCTGAGTGAGAATTAAATATTGGAATCTGGTCACATTCAACAGTATCTTTGCAAATTCTTTCATGACTGACGTGAGGCATTGAAAAAGGAGATGCTCCCAAGTATTTGTATGTTACTCCTTGTAATTTTTAGTCATGCAACATGGTTTTCAAGAGTGGCAAACAAATACCAAGATATTCTATGAAAATTGCTCCTATGGATCCTAATACAAACTTGGATTAGTATTATTCTAGAAGTGAAAATAAACAGACCACACTAAAAACTAACATAAAATCAAAATTCATCATTTCCTTAAACCATCTGAGATCCATATTGTCCTTGTTACCTACTTTTCCATTATGTTCTCTGAATACTCGGAGGGAATAACACTATCTCTATTCTTTCTGATTGTGCTTTGTATTAAGCATGTGTGAAAAGTACAGACTTTCAACTCCTCAGAATGAAATCTTCTATTTCTCTGTGAGTCAGGTGGATCCAAATGCTTATAGAATTTTGACCCCTGAAAAAGTTACATCATGACAGTTTTGGGGTTCTCTTACAAGTGCCACTATAAAGGTTAAAAGTACCTCATTCTCACATTTATTTCAAATGTACTTCTAAATAGCCCCGAGAAACATGCTAAAAGCCAAACACATTCTAAATGCTCTCTAAAAAAAAAAAAAAAATTTACTTAAACATTAACATCAATACTTCTAGATTAAAGGACCACAAATGTGATCACTGCTGATTACACTAGTGAGACCCACTTAGAACAAGAATTCTCATCCACTAGAAAGAGGAGAAATTTGTTTCATATTGTCTACTGAAAGAACAGCTTCTGACTTTTAACCGTATGGGTTGGATTTGAATGGGATCAATAGAGCATTTCATCACCAATTACCTCAATTATTTAGCTTCCTTAAACAATCTCTCTTAATTTTCTGCCACAGGCTGGCCCTTTAATTATCTTCCTCTCTAAAGCAGAATGTCTTTCAAGTCCCTTTGAATGCCAGACTTGTCTGACTGCCAGGATGAGTGAGCGAGGAGGCTCCTGGAGACTATCACAGGCTTCATGGGAGCAGGAGTTACAGTCCCACTCCCTCTCTTTTTTTAACCAAAGAGAGTTGCAATGATGGAGGTGTGCTGACCTGCAGGAGCCAAAACAACCTCGTGTCTGAACCTACCTTTCTGAAGCTCTCACATGCTGCTGTCCATGTGTCCCAATTCAGTTCTTACAACATCCCAGAATAGATATTAAAGTGGAGAACAGCAGCCTCTGCAATGAAGATACCATCAGTTAACATTTCATTTGTTTATCTTAGAATCCAGAAAGAGCAGAATTCAGCATTTTTTTTATCACACACGGGCCTGACTTCATCCTTCTGGTATCATTTATATCATTTTTCCCTCAGCAATTTTAGAAAACACATTCTAAGCCCCAAACATAAATGACGTTAATTGGTAAGTTTGTGTTTGGGAGGCCATACTGTGGATTGCTGAAGATGAGAAGAACTGCACCAATAAAAATCTTCAGGTACATTAATGAAGAAATTAAATACTGAATTTAAGCTTAAATATATGAATTTTGAAACCTCTGAACATTAAGTCAGATGTCTTGGGCTGTCAGTAGAAAGTTAAACTTGCAGACTAAACCTGCCTTAGTCCTAAAAGTGCAAACAAAGTGGTCATCTGTCAGTAAAACCATATCTTAAGCATTTTGAACTTTGAGGAATTAATAGAAAAGCAAGCTGTTTGGATCTTTTTCTGCTCAGCTTAAAAATCTCAAAGAAAATGATAATAACAAGACTTTAAATCTTTTCTTGTTAACGTACTATAGCATACCAGCCAACATTTCCTTGAAACAATACTCAGGATAGCAAAGTACATCTCTTTCAGTACTATAAGTATAAAAAAGACATCTCCAGGCAATCATGGAAAATGCTTTCCTGATTTAAAAATGAAAATGGTCTTGTTAGCATTTTTGCCAAGTGGAATATCTGAAGAGAGTTATAAAACAACCACAGGAATTAAAAATATTATTCTTCAGCTCACAACTCATGCTTTTGATTTTAAAATCAAAATCACAGGTAAAGTGATAATTAAAAGCAAAAAACATACATCTATATTTTTGGGAAGCTGAACACCATCCAAGACAGCACAGTGAGGACTCCTGTATTTCCAAGCTTTTTATTCCTTATGGGTAAGGCCTAATTGGTAGACCTGTTTTTAGAATCAGAAATAAACTTTTGTAATACATTTAGAAGTCAATCAGTGCTGCCCTGAAATAAAATAAAGGTAATGCCCAGAGGTAACTCAAGGCTGATGCTTCTAATGGTTCAAACAGCAGCTCTTTCATTACACCTGATTAAGTATATAGGGAACAAAATACAAAAATAAATAAAACCCTACTTTATTCACATTTCTTATTAGCTGTTCCTATCCCCTTACAGGACTTACTCTAAAACTCTAACTCAGCCATTGACTTCAGAGAGAATAGGGTCAAGACCTGAAAGAATAAAAGCACTCAGTGGACACAAAGAAAAATATGTAAGAACCTCAAATTAAGATTCCTGTAAGATATTTCTGTTTAGTGCATTTGAAACAATCAAATTTTGCAGTTGAAATCTTAGAAATGCAACTGCATTATTAACTAGAGTCACTATAATATTGACGAAGAACGAAAATAACAATACAATTTCAATACAATTCACACAAATGAGTGAAGCTCATTCCGCCCCTTGAACTGATGTTGACATGTAAATTCAGGTAACACAAATGAGCACACCTGTCAGAGTTTCTCTCGCTGACTGGATAAAATAGAAATATTAAAGACTCCCAAGGCCTCCCGAGTGGTGTAGGCAGCCTCATTCCCTGAAGCAATGCTGCCATCTTGCGAGGGAAAAGCTTCAGTCAACATCTTCACTTATAGATTTATCCTGAGTGCTGGAGATCTATGGGACACAGGGGTAAGGAATCACCAGGGATGTGAGCTGGACATTTGCTCCCCCTCCACAAACACAGGTCTTTGAAAACAGAGTGGAAACGGTAAGCAATACTGTCCAGGAACTTGCTACCTTGAGGAGCAAGCAGAACATCCAATGTTGCTGTGGTAAATTCAAAACTAAGTGAACTGGCATTTCAGGTGAAAATGCAAGCAAAGGAACCACATGCAATCCATGCTTAAAGGTGGTGAATCCCACTCTCTTTCTTTTAACTTCCACTATGCAGTTGGTATCTTGTATTGCTGGATTGCAAAATCTAAGCAATTTAACAAAAAAAAAATTTCATGGTCAGATCCATCAATCCATCTTTGATATATGGACCAAGGGACAGAATGCAGTTTGCTGACAAAAAAAAAACCACCAGGCCATTGTTATTCTTGCTCTAATTCAAATATTTTTTGTTTTTCTAATTCTCTCCGTTATAATTCTCTAATAATACTAATGCACACACACCAGATTTCAAGACAAGAATTACAACCACTTACAGCTGGATTGAATTTAGTAGCATGGGCTGCTATTTCTAGAGTGAAATTTTCCAATTATGCTTTTACAGCTGAAAATGTCACTTCAAGTCTGCACATCCTCAGCAGGAATCTGTTTTGAAAAGTAAGGAAAAAGTAGCTTTAATATGATTGAAATATGCCCACTTCACCTTTGTGAATGGAATATTTAAGCCTTCTATTTCCATTTTTATAATGTGTAATGCAGAAAATAAAATTTTATCGTGTTTCATTTTGTGAAAGTAACAGGAAAATTTATAGTATTCTGATGACCACATGCCATAGAGTCTGCATACACATTCAGCTTTCACCTGGGAATACTGAAAAAGCTCCGAACATTAATTCTATTGGCATGCCTAAAGATTTCCTGTTGCTAGAAAAAAAATCACCTGCTCTTCCTGGCTGCAAAATTCATGTCTTCCTGCAAATCCCTCACAGCAGAAACAGCTTCAGGTCATTTGGCTTTAGAGCTGTAGCTATAGACAGTGACCTCCCCACTCTCCCAGCATGCAAATTTGTTATATTACCAGGAGTTATTACAAATAATTCCTTGCAGGTGTTTCTAAAATGAATCTGTTACTTTGCAGTTGAAGCAACTGCTGAGTAGATTGAGGACTGTTGGTGTCCATCATCACTGCGCACTGTTAGATTTTATTCTTGCTCAGTCTATCACAGCTCTGGGTCTTCGTTTATTCCTTGGAAAAATTGAGTAAACCACCCTTGTGCTCTGGGTATTGGTATCTCTAAAGGAAAGGACTGCAGCCTCAACTATCAGGCATTTCGGCACTTACTAGTTGAAAACTACCTGTATTTCTTAGTTTGCATCACCACCCCAGCATACACAGTGTGAGCCAAGAACACCTTTTCCTGCTCCTCTGCTCCTGCAGAAGGACAGGCAGAGAAGGGGGGAATTCTACCCTAGGTTTCCCAAAGAAGAGTTCTGGGAAACTGTAAAGCAGAAAATCTGGCCCTATATAATTAGAAAATGTTTTTGTTGCTTGAATTACCAGCAAGATCTGCTCTTAGTAATTACTTGGAGGTACAATGAATCAAGAGGTATTCTGCCTGCTTCTCTGTAAAACACATTGCCTTCCATTCACTACAACAGCATCCCTGAATTTTTAATTCAATATACTTAGTGGTCTGGAGTCTCTAAATTGTGTACTTGGTTATTTATTTAATCTGAAATGGCTGCCTAAAACAAATTGTTTAAGGAGAGATGAGATGACGTATTTCCCCTCCATTGCAAAGCTGTCATGGATTTGGGGGTAACAGCCTCTGAATTCTTTGATGCTTCATCACCAGGTTAACTCCTGTAAATATGCTTCAAAATCCGAAAATGGTTATGGCCTAAGGAAAGAGCAGGTAAGGGGAGGGAGAAGGGATGATGTGACCCACATTCACAGACAAAACCTGCTCATTATATTTCCTGGTAATGGTTACCCAGATGACAAATTTAGATTTTTCTTCTTTGCTGGAGTTTGAGAACTCTTAAAAAAATTGACTCAGGAGATGTATGTATTTCACTTGGAAAGCAACCTGACATTATTAGCATTGAAATGACCCTGTAAAGTTATGGAGCTTTGATTTTAAAGTGTTTTACCTCTATATCTCCCCTCAGAACATGAGTCTGCCCTCACATATTTCCCCTCTCCTACCCACCTGATCTTACTTTGCTGTCTTGAACCTATTAAAAAATCAGATTCACTAGAACTGTTTAATACAGAGGACACATTTGCGAGGGTGAGATTTTTTATGAAGTGTAAGATTTCTGTTACGCTGTACAAATTCATAGAGCTGAGCAAATCGATTAGGCTTCTGTTGGGAATTCCTTCTTTAGAAATGATCAGGATCTGTAGAAGCCCTGCAAAGGAAAAGATAGTTGCAGCAGGAATGTCATAATAGAGCCTATTAAATGAGGAGGAACTTAAAAACAAATTCAAAGCTAGTGATTTAATACATAGGATTTGTCTTTTCTGATTTTTTTTTGCAGATCTTCTGTGGATACAGAAGGACACACTAAAAAAAAATAAATATACTTATTATGGTATAGTCCAAAACAGCAATGTCAGCTTCACTACCTTTACATCAGTTTTATAACAGCCCAAGTTGTGGCTCCTGGTACATATACACTGTTTTTCCTTCAAATATGAAAAGCCTTAAAGCTCACCTGACCAACTAAAAACATCTCCAAAGCCACAAAATGCCCAGTGGAGGACTCAGTGACAACAGTCTGGAGGTCACTGTGCCCCACCCTGTCGCTGCAGCCCAGGGTTCCCTGCCAGCCCCAAGCAGCAGCCCCCTAGACGGGCCAGGACCAGCTCTGACAACCTGGATGGCCCAAACTCTGCTCCAAACAACCCCATGAGTTTGGGCACCAGAACAAGAACTAACAGGTCTGAATCCCTGAGCTCCTCTGAGCTGATCTGAGCTTCCTACATGAATTCTCGTGTCAGAACCATCTTTTCTTGGCAAGCAGCGAACATTCACAACTCTGTTTGAAGTGCAAAGGGGATGAAAAAAAACCTACTTCCAGTGTTACAAAATTCTTTTTTTTTCTTCAAAGCTTTTTTCTCTTTCTTCTTTTGAAGGAGTTGTCAGTCATGGCTCTATATTCATGGGGGAGATCTACAAAAGTATCCACAGGCTGAGTTCAGCCAAGTATCCAATGAACCTGCAGTGGGACAATATCACCGGTATCTGCACCCATGATGAATGTTCAGATTTTAATTGGCTGGGTTTTATTCTAACAGGACTTCTTTACTCAAAACCTATGTCAGTAAATAAAAGATCACTTTCTGAAACCAGAGGAATTCTTACCACAAAACTGTTTAGCAAGATAATGTTCCTAATAATTTTTGAGTAACGTAATTGAGTGATTCCAAATATCCATATAACTTGAGATATAGCCCCCTGTTCAGCCAAACCCATGACTAAATATGACACATCTTGTTCTAACAGATTCACAGAGTACATCAAGAGAATACTGTAGTAGCAACTTTCTATACATCTATTATCTGATGTATTATACATGTTGAAACTATTTTTAGCTGTTTATATGAGTATCATAAGGAATGCAGAATTTTAAGAAGAATCTCTGTGACAATTTCTGAAAAGAAATTATTTCCTGTATTAACAGCTAAAGATTCTGACCTACTCAGGGCACAGTTAGTCCTCCCTCAAAAAATTAATTTAAAATACTAAGTGCTTCACCTTGCAGGTATAGCTCAATGTACTGCAAACATCAAGTAAAGAGTGATTACTTACCTAAACTAAGGTTTTAAGAAATATTTTCCTTGATCATGTCCACAATTGTCAATGCCATACACAACCAGTATCATTTCTTAAAGAACATTATCTGCCCCAAGAGAGATTTCAGAAAAACAACATACATTCAAGAAAACAATAAAAGAAAAAGTTAAAAAAGACATGTTTTTTGACCACTAGGCTGCTCAAAACCATTAATTACTTGAATAAATGACCTTCACTTGAACTACTCTCCATACTTTGCTAATTGTTTATATTATTCTGGTTCAGTCCCACCAGAATTAGGAGAAAACACCTCAGTGACTTTATGCTGAAGCCCTTAGTGTTAAACTGAGATCTTATCCTTCTGACTGCTCCCTTCAAAGTGCTATCAAATTCATTGCAAAGGCTCTATTAAAAAATAAGGGATAAATAAGGCAGTACTTTCCATAAGGCTGGAGCATCGATCAGGCTTGGAATAGCCCAATGTCTACTTACAAAAATACAGGAATGAATCCTCATAGTTATTAAACTCATTACAAAATATCTAAACCTCCAGATTTCAGAATGTTAATTGAAAAAAGAAAATTTCTACTCTGAGAATGTTATTATACAAGAAACAAACCCTATCTCTACATAAGAACTCTATGAAAAGCAGATCAAAATTAGCAAGCAGACAAGTTGGCATAGTGGAAGGGGGCAGAAGTGTAGAAATGTAAGACTGACAGCCCATTTTCTGCACTGTGATAATAATTTTCCCAAATTAAAAAAAAACACTCTTGCTTTCTCTATTTCCTGCATGTTAGCTTTACCTTGCCTGTTTAATTAGGAATGCTTCTGCCATCAGTACTGAACCAAATCTGTTCATGCCCATCTGCTTAACAAATTTCTCTTTCACCGTTGTTCAATGAAGGAAGTCAACCCCAATCAGTCTGGTCTTGCTGCTTCAGGTAGCGTTTTAAATAATAAAAGGTTTATCATGTATCTGTGCAGGAAGAAATGAAAAACAAAAAGTCCGGTTTACTCGAGGCAGCAAGTTTGTAATAAATGATCTTTACAGAAGCCTGCATTTTGGTCTTGGTGACTGTGCTATCCCAGGTATTTCATATTCCTTCTACATACTGCACACAGATCAGCAACAGCTCAAGGAACAGGTTATTCGTCTCAATTCGATGAACGGAACAGGTAGATAAAATCTGATAGAGATCACAGAACCAGAGCAATGAAGCTGCACTTCCCACTGATCCTTTCTCTGGATTCCTCTGTAGGAATACAACGTCTTCCCATCTATTCCCCACATCTGAGATAACACGTGATTTTCCTTTCTTCAGCAACACTGAACCTGACATCTACATAAACAGGGATCTGAAATTACTGTATTGCACACACTGAACAAAGTGCATTTAATATCTTATCCTTCCTTGAATATTTATTTGCACTTTCAAACCCAGTAGAAGTCAGTCTAGAAAACACAATTGCCTTACTATCTGAATAACAAAATCTTCACACAGTGAAAAGTAAAGCAGTTTGAGTATTTCACCAAGACCTAGAAAAGAGAGGGCAAAGTTAAGAGAAGAGTAGCTTTCCACTGTTCTGTTGGGAGCTATGCCTTAAAATATTTAAGAAGGTTACGTCTGAAAGTTTTAAAAAAGGATATATGGGTTCTGCAGATTGCTAGATGAAGGAAAATTATCATTCTCCTGGCATATAAATGAAATACTGAATTTCAAAGCAATATAGAGCTCTGTAGAAAATACGCAAGCACCACTAAATAAGACCTTTATTTAAATAGCTGCATTGTTTAAATCAAAATCAAGTAGGAATTCTTTTGATGAAAAATAAACTAATTTGCCATAAAAATAAGATATTAACAAGAAAAGTAAAATACTTTCATAATCTTTTTATTATTTTTGGACTAGTGCTAATTTTATTTTTTTTTAATAGCAAGAACACACAACACTTCTTTGTCATACTTAAAACACCTTTAAATTTGCTTAAACTTGTAAACTCACTTCAACTTTCTGCTCTCTTATTCCCCTTTCCCAAAAGCCAAGTCAAAACACTACTAACTACACGGAAACACAGACTTGCTAGGCAGTCCTTGAAAATACATTTTAAAGCCAGTCTAAATATAACCTGCTCTGAGTTATTGAAGGACTTCAATGACACCCAAGATGCCCACATCATGGTACCAAGGACACTTCCTAAAATGTCATAAAACAGCATAAAGGTTCTTTTATGATGCTGAAAAAACCCTTCCCTGTTTAGCTGACCTTTCTTTGCAGTTACAGAACATTAACATTGAAACGTGGTCACTAAACTTCAGTTATTCAGCTAAGAACCTAATTAAACTATTCCCATCTCAGAAATTACAAAAAGCTATAGTCTTGTAACACATCTTAACAGGCTGGTGTTGTAGAATGGAGCAGAGAGGCCCCTGGACATCATTGCACAGAAGGCTCAGGGAGAATACAGACCTCAGTAAGGTAAATCAGGTACTCTTTATCTCTGCTAGAGGTGTAATAATTTCAATATAAGAGCACACTTTTTTATAACCCAGTCACTGCATTCTACTATACTGAAATAAATTAGCCTTAACAACTACCACTGAATCCATGCAAATACATTCCTTTTAGTTTGCTCAGCAGTGGAACAACAAAGATGTTTCAGTCTTACTAAATTCCTGGTGGGTTTTCTTTTTTCCCACCCTGTTTTCTGGCACTGGATTCATGTCTGATGTTCTGGAAAACTCAGCATTTGAACCATCTTTCACAGTATAGAAACAGGATTAATTAAGCAGTATCTGAGCACAGTTTACATCATTAAATATCTGTGACTTGGTAAAATCACCATTTTCTTTTACCTGTGAAAATACTACACCTGCAGGAAGATGTTCAGTGAACCCAAATGTTTACATATGCTTAGAAAACACGTGAAAATGTCACCAGTAGCTTCTAGTGAGGAAAGCACTCATTGTTATCACTTGTTTTAGTTCTGCAAGGCAAACTGAGGTCTAGTCACTGAGTCAGTCTGCAGATACTTCCCTACTTAAAGGAGAGGCAGCTAAGGCTGAAGAGCTGAGAGAGGTCTCTGTTTGCATTGCACACTCTCTTGTTGAATTTCTCTTCCCCATCTCACTGTCATACCGCAGTGAGAAACCTGAAATCTGTTCACCACAGGTTTCTCTGTTCCAAGACCCCAGAGAAAACTGTAAAATACCTCTCCAGTACAGGGGAAGAGAGGAGGGAGGGGGGGGGGAAACAGTTTTAACTTCTATGTTTGCCTATTAAAGTTTTGTTTACTTAGCATTACTGGCAAAAACAACTTCTGGATTTAAAAAGCTCTTGTCTACGATCAGAACTACTGCACATTGCTTCAGTTTCCAAAGTTCTGTGACAAGCTCCCTTATCCCATGGGCTTCCTCCACTGAATGCAAGGCCTGAGCTTTTAGGTTTTCATTTGCAGTCCTGCTGGACCGGGTGACAAAAGGGACACTGTGCTGCTGTACAGCTGTTAATTCCAGCAGCACTGGCTACTCGTAAACAACCAACAGAGACGTCCTTATGCAATTTCCTGCTCTCCTCGAACCTCGCTCTAATTCCACCCCCAAAACAGCTCCCAGCAGAGTCACAGACCTCCTGTTTGCAAGGTGTCTCACACCTACAGCTGCCCCTGGGATATGGGACATTAGGTTCAGTTTTCTCAGCACCAAGACTTTTGTGATAAAGAAAGGAGGCAGAGATGGTTTTGTGTACTTAATAATAATGTTTTAGCATTTT